TATAGTGTTATAAATTTGTATTTTTTATATTATTAAAACAGCTACGTGGAAAGGGACGATCCCGAATTCACCTCTGTCACCCAGGCATTCGATCTGTATCGTTTAAGTAAAAAATTTCAGATAGAAAATTTACGGAGGAAATGCAGAATATATCTTATTAAAGAAATCTCACTGAATAATGTTTGCTCAATACACGACTTTGCCTGCGAAGTCAAAGATACAGACATAATTTATTATTGTTGGAAAGCTTTCGATAAATACGGAGAATACGTATTTAGAACACGGGACTTTTTGCTCTGTAAAAGTTCAACAATTAATACACTCGTATCTCGACCCATATGCGAATCTATTACCGAGATAAGCTTACTCTTAGGTGTATATCATTGGTGCGAAGAACGAGTAAAATACGAAACAGGTACAAAGGCTTATATTTTAATGAAAAAAGAAACTAAGAGACTGAAAATAAGAGATGTTTTTGAGCCATTTATTGAAAAAATCAGATTTCTTGCCATGAGTGTAAGTGAAAGGAAAATTTCCGGAATTATACTTAACTTCTTAACTAATACAGAAAAAGGACTACTTCGGTTTGCTTCCGAGACTCAAGATTATTCCAATTATCCGACTTACTTTAGTAAGGAAACACGAACCAGATGCGAAGAGAATTATTACGACTTGATTGATTATAATAATTATAATAATGAACATTTTACAAGAATATCCAACGAAAATAGAAAGCCAAAGTTGTATTTCAGCTGTGAGGTAATTTTGAGCGAAGATTCTTATCTCACCGAACTTCTCTTACCAATAAACCTCTCTCGCGACAGTGCCATAATGCAAGTATTTGGATATATTAAGACGTTGAAGAGCGATGTTCACTTCTTTTACACTGTTTGCAATCGGGAGGGAATCGCAAAACTGGAAAGGTGTTTTTATCTAAAAAAGGATATGTTGTTTCGTTTCATTGCTTTTTTTGTCGATATTGAAAACTTTCAGTCTACTGTTAATCCATTGTCTTTGAGATCAATCCTCTTTGAGAACGATGAAGAAACGGAAAAAATAATGTTCGAACAATTAAACATTAAAATTGACAAAAGCATTTACGATAATATTTCTTTCGAACTTAAATTTTATTTTTAAAAGAAAGATTTAAATGTTATTTTAAAAATCAAATTGTTTTGTTAAAGTTTTCAGTATTCGGCATTTATTTAAATTAATGAGAATTTATAATTGTTCTTTTTATCTTTTAGTGTTTCATTTCTTTCTATTTTTACTGTTTTCTTAGAAATAAATTTAACTATAAGTACAAAAAATTGTAGTTTTTTAAAATATTCCTCACAAGTCATATCTAGCATTACTTGAGGGTGCAACGTAAGCATTGAGAATGCGAGCAAAGTTCTCCTTAGAAAAACGCTGTTCCAGAGACATTATTAATGAACCTATGTACGGAATAATTAGTGATCTCCAAAACTCGCTAAGAGTCTGTGCTGATGAATTCGCACAATGTTTCTGATGATTTATGACTCGCGGCGTATTGAACTCTGTTTCAAGATGCTCGGCAATTGTTTCAGCCTCTGCTTTAGACCGAGGTCCGCGAGTACATTTTAAAAATACGTTTTTAACATTAGTGGAAAAATGCTCAAAAAATAGAATTTCAAAAAGCAATTTGTGCATAAAAATACTAAGCCTGTTCTTGTTAAATAATGCTTCCTCTACAAATCATTCATTAATTAATCATGTGAAAAAAAGCAAAATATGAACGACACGATGACTCAAAAATATGGAAACGACTTCAGTTGTCAAATGAGGTGAAAAAGAGCATGACAAGAAACACGTAATTGAAAAGATGGCTTACAGTAAAGCTGTACCAGCGCTGGAAAACGATGCATCGTCCACCAAAAAATTACTTTCGAGGTGATAGTGCGTTAAGGGGGTGCCCACTCAGTCGTGTTTTAATTTGAAACCAGTTCTCATTGTTAAAAAAAAACTTTTGTTCTTTACTCTACTTTCAAGTTCATTCTGGACCAGTTCCTCTATCTGGTAGGACGTTCTCGGCGTTTGGTAAGTGTCTTTTTTCTATGGTCCCATTCTACTGAGTTACTTGATGCATCTCTATTTTAATACAGGTGGTTACAATCTTATTACGAAATAATAATACTTAAACTAAATTTCCGTTAAAGCTAATATGGATTCTGACATATGCTAACATTCAGTCAACACTCAAAGATGATAGAGCATCGAGGGATTATTTAAAAAAGATATGACAAAAAGGAATTACTCATATAGATGTTGTTAAAAATTGTTTATAACAATCTCGTAATTTCGACACTGAATTAAAAAAGAAGGCGCTAGATAGTCTGGAAGCATTAGAGCAGCTGTGTAAGAGCAAAATTAGAAAAAAAAACGCCTCATGTATTCAATATATATGCTCAGAAATGAAAAAGTAAGAAACTTACTTGTTAAAAGCATAAATGGGAAATATTAAAACAGACTACGAGAAATAAGTTCATCTGTACTCAGACGTTGTGAAACTGAGAAAGTTCGAGCATATCTCAGACACACTATTAATCAATCGGAAAGAAGAGAAAGGTCGAAATTCAATGTCATAGCACCTAAAGTCGAATATTAATGTAACCGATTTTGGGGTAGACCTCGAGACTACTAGGAAAATCAGAAACAGATTTGTCATTCACTGTAACTTTCGAGTAGGAGCTAAGAAATTACAGCAAAAATTATATCGTCAAAATTGTAAAAATAGTGCAGATCAACAAACGATCAATCGATAAACAATAGTTATTGTAGAGTCGGTCGACCAATTCGTTTTGATTTATGTTCATTGACAACTGTATTATTAATTACTTTATGTTTTATTTTTTTTTCTATCGGTTTATTTTTATTTTTTCATTTCGAATCAATGCAGAAAGAACTACAAACAACGGTTAAGAACTATTCATTATAATCAATATAAAATCGAGAGTATTTTCCTATGAGACAAACACTAACAATGAATTCTAATTTTGTAACAGCGTAATGTATTTGAAAAGTATCTTTTCTCGTTGCATCGTTACCGTCTGTTAATAGTTTTTCGAATGCCATAACGATTTGCACATAATGTTCTCCAATGTGGCGATACTTTTATATTTTTGTGACCAATTGGTTTCACAGAGCATTCGGTATGCATTTTCGACGAAGGGCCGATTCTCGGAAAAATCTTATTATTTCTTTTATTTTTGGAGACCGTATTTCGCATTACTGCTATTTTGTTAAAGTTGTTTAAGAATTTTCTGGACACCGCCATCATTTCCTGCCATAGTGGAACACCCACCGTATCCTTGTTTGACGCGCTTTCTGGATCAAGACCTACTTTTTCTACAAAGTTGTTAATTGCAGATGCTGCAGATTTTGCATTCGTGTCAGTCAACTCTACAAAACCTAGAAAATTCTCACGAACTATTGTCTTTTCTTCGTCTAAAATTCTAACCCCAATGGAAAGTTGTTCTTTTTCTGATATGTTCGCTGCTCTTGTCTGCCAGGATACTGTAAGCACAAGTCAGCAGTGATGTCTCTAATGATGTTGCTACATAGGCCGATTATTTCGCTCTGAATCTGTGAAAACACTATGAACATTAGTTGGTGGAAACAACACACAATAAATGCACAACGCACCCTTTAATTTCTTTGAATACTCCAGCCGAGGAGCATAATCCGCCAACCAGCTGTATTTGAATTTTCTTTTTAATTGCACAGCATCCTTAGCAAAGTCATAACTTGGAGTTAGTGACTAACAGTTTTTTAAAACTTCCATTTTTTGAGATGAGGTCATACTAAACGAACGCCAAGCCAGTGACCCACATCATCAAAATACGTTTGATCCTGTGCACCAGAACAAATGGTAGAGAAGATCCACTCGATGCACTTAAAATAGTAATAAGTGCAGTTGTGCACTTCTTTAGATCCTTTCGTGCTGAAGAAGTTTTTGATATTCATTTTACATTGCTATTGTTACGGGATTGTGGTCCAAAGAAAGATTGGGTAGAGAATTTATATAGAATGCTTCATTAAAGAACAGATACAAGATGTTCAATATCTTTTTGAGATTGCCCGAGATATGCTGCTGTTAGCAATGAGCCAAAGCACATCCAATATGAATTAGGTAACCAATTGACACGTCTTCGACAGAAGTATGGTATGGGATTATGGCTACTTAGCTCCATTTTGCTTCTGTAGAAAAACTATCATATCAACTATCTTGCATACACCTGATCCAATTTAACCATGATTATCTTCTGAATATTTTTATGTAGCACATCTTTCTCTTCTACATGGATACAGAAGTCTTTATATGTGTTTTTTATTATTATTTTGTTACATATTCAATCATTACGCAAATAATATATGAAAACTAAAGTAATACAGTTCAATGGCACATTATCCTGGGGTCCCCACCAATGGGGATCCCAAATCAATCTTTTATAAACTCATTACTGTAGTTGAAGTAGCAAAATTAAAATTTAGGCCATGTCTGGGGACCATAGATTGCCGGTGTGGCACATCACAGAACTTGACCCATAAAAAGTCATGTTAAAAAACAAACAAGGATATTGGGTAATTCTTCCTGAAAATTCCCCAAAGAAAAACGCTTGAAGTCAACCACTTTATATGGGAACCTACTAATTCAAATTTGCCTGGTCCTCATGAAGCAAAGTGTCACAGTTCCTGGTGAAATACATGGGCAATCTGCTAAAGGAATGCCTCGTGGGAGGATATTTCTATGGGAAACCAGTCATGTTTAGTGTTAGACACGTGAAGAAAACTCAGAAACTTCACATAGCCAGCCCATCGGTTGGGTGCAAATCCACAACCAACTACCAGTGTTTGGTGGTTTTATCTATTTGGTTACTTGTGGGCCATTTTTGGTTAAGGATTTCTAAGTTAATTTGTAGAAAAATTTACATCTGACAACATAAAATCATTTAAATTCAGTTTATTTAAAATTTACAAAGTAAATATTTAAATACAAATTTCTCTCAACTGAAATATTGTTAACAAATTAAAAAAGAGTCATTTTCAACAGAAAAAAAACCGATTACATGGAATGTTCAATACAAAATCTGATTATTACAGATTTTTATGTAGCTAAATTTTGCAAATGTAATACCTTAAATTGTCATTTTAACATTAGTATAATTAAGGGATGGCACTTCATCGTGGATGATTCATAGGAACATAAAAATATGACTCGAGGATAACCTCCTTTAACATAAACACGCATATTAATAATTTGTTTATTTACAAATGTGTTCTATTACTAATTTTCTTTCAAATAAAGTTTTATTAAACTATATAAAATAACAGGAAACACATCACAGTTTTGTGTAAAATCAGAATTTTTGGTTCGTTTTTCAATTACTTTTTCCACTGAATTGTACTATTGACACATAAATGTATGATGGGATTTTTTGATATATTGTTGTGATCTAACCCTAAAACAAATCATTTAGCTCTCCGAACAATAAAAAATTCCTTTGTTAAACTGACAAACTAAATATTTAAAATACAATAAATTACATTTAATGATATTGTAAGAAGTTATTATTCTGTTCTGCAAAAGCCAGCAGTTGTGTCTTAAGGAAAAAGCTAATAATTACAGATCAGAAGTAATACTGTGTTTTCGGGTAATCCACAAGACCTTTGATATAGCAGCATTCCTGGTGACAAGAATGTAAAATTTTCTTCATTTTTTTTATGTAGTCACAAACTGGGTTTTCTCCTTTATTTTCGTATGGGCTGTTCTTAGTTTTTGCTTATATGTACGGTACATATATACAATTAATATGCACATATTTAAATATCTTCAATGTAGCAGTGCAAATGGCTATTATGTCAAAAGATCTTTGGATCATCCAGTATATTAAAGCACATTTTAAATGTCTTAAAATAAAAATTTGTTTTTCTTTTTAGTGTTTGTGACCTCAACAGAGTGGATATTTATGAAGGACACGTGAAGTTCATTAGGAAAAAGAATAATGAGTGGGCAATGAAAAAATAGGAATATGGACTAATATAATTTGAATTTGATGTTATTAGAATAGCTACTATAGAAAGGTGCTACAATAATATGCTTAAGAAGAAGGTTGACTCTGTACTATTTGTTCTAAGCTGCAAAATCTTGATATCTGTGGAAATTATTTTGACAGTGCCGATTGAGAGGACCTAATAATGTATAACAATATTTCAATATTTTTTTGTTGTTTTTTTTATCATTTAATTTGCAAAAAATCCAAAAAACTTTACTTCGGAAACAGTAAACAATTCACATAAATTTAACAATCACAAAAAACATATATAAAATCCCATGATAAATCTATGCCAGTAGCACGCTTTAATATTGTTCTAATATGACAAATTTTACTGCTATTCCCACATATGACTTTAATAATATTTTTTCTTTTGCACAGAGATGAATGACACTACAATCTCTGTATAAATATAAACTATATTAATTACAAACTGTGTAATTTTTGCTATATTAAACTATATACTAGATTTCTTAATCGTATGAATTTATACATTTGCTGCATACGTTGACCTTTGCAGAATATTCGCATATGAATAACAAACTTCATTGGACTAGATTGCACTATGTATATTTTTGTACACGTGCCATCCCTAAGATGCCATAAAAAAACAATTAGCTTAAATTTGGAATATTTAAAAATTATAATATAACAAAGTATATATTGAAGTTATTGACATATTTGTAAAACCCCTTGGCAAATATAAGTATTTACTACTGTATATTAAAATACATATACAGTAAAATTAGGGTGTACTTTTCGATAATTATATCAAACAGATTAATAACTAACTCGTAAGTTTACAATTTCTATGTTAAAAACTAAGATATAAAGGTAAACAACTTTTAAAATGAAAAGTTCACCTCTAATTCAGACCTTATATTAAATTATATGCTTTAAATTAAGAAGAAATTCATTCTTAAAAAGTATTGAGACAACAAAAACTTGAAAGGTATGAAAACAAAGATACAAAATGTTTGAAATTCCAAAAATGTTCAATAATCACAATTTGTTTATGTAATTTCCCAATGCTTAAGCAGTTACTTTGTTTAGATCTTTAACTAATCCGTTAATCGGTTTTGTGTGTCCATTGGCAATATTTGAAAATGATGGCTTTCGCCGGAGATCAAACAATGCGTCGGATTCGGAATCCGACATCAACAAACTCGATCTTTGGGTTTTAACTGAAAAATTAACATTTGTGAAATTAGAAAAAATCGTGTTAGACAGGCAAAAATTTATTTATGTTAAAAAATAATAACGGATCTTACCTTGCGGTAAAAGTTCACGGTTATCTTTATCACTTAGTTCTTCCAATAACATATATTTATGTTTCTTTTTAGGTTTTCTGAATGACATTCTATTTAAAATAAAAATAATTATTTTAATATGGTATATACAGCATCAAAACATAATTGCATATTCAATGTGAAACAATTTTCATATTGAATGTAATTATTTTATTAAGGAAGCTTATTGCCAAATTTACTTATTAACTTTAACAATAAAATAACACTAACATTATAAATAAACAAACAACAACATTACAACCTGATACATTATAAACTACAAGCCAACTAATGCCGTATGTTATCGGGCTAGATATCGGCTATCATACTAATAAATTACGAAACAATTTGGTACTAGAGGAAGACATTAGGCACCATCTCTTAATAAATTTAATAATTATAATTTTTAATTAAATAATTTAAATAATTTAGACTACCAGAAGAAAACAATCAGCCTGGAGCGGGACTCGAACCTGCAACTCCTGCTTACCAAGCAGATGCGTTGCCAATTATGCTACCTGCAGTTGTGGTTTGAGTCCTGCTCCGGGCTGATTGTTTTCTTCCGGTAGTCTAAATTATTTAAATTATTTAATTAAAAATTATAATTATTAAATTTATTAAGAGATGGTGCCTAATGTCTTTCTCTGGTACCAAATTGTTTCATAATTTATTAGTATGATAGCCGATATCTAGCCCGATAACATACGGCATTAGTTGGCTTGTAGTTTAAAATTATAAATGTTTTATATTAGGTACTCTGAAAAGTTTAAATTTTTTTAAGCTATTGAGTAAAAAATTGTTGCTGATTTTGTAATAAATCTTCAATCAAGAATATTTTATAAATATTTCAGTTCAGAATAAATATATATGCCTTCACAAAATATGATCTACTTGAACCTATAACCAGTGCGTACAAAGTTTAATCTTCCAAAACAAACGTTTTCCTAACCTCTTCTGGGATCTTCTTCAGGTAATTAAGCTGCATAAAACTCGAATACGAAAATTTGAACTAAGCCGAATGCTGATGTGTTTCAAATGCTCGGTTCGTTTGCGTATTCCATTACGTGACATGTTTGAAAGTGCTCGAACTTAATAATCCACATCCAAACGTGAAAGATATGTCAAAATACTTAACATATGTGAGTGTGAGATAAAACATCAATAATAATCTCACATGTTCCCCATCAAATATTTTTCTTTACTACTTAATAAATAGTATAATGCTATCACTCTGTATGTAGTAAGGCCTGCCATGCCATGGAAAGGCCAATCTCGTCCCTTGTATTAATGCATGTGGATACGTGATAAGCCTTAAAAATTTCCATCACCTCTAACCATTTCAGATGGTCAATGTGAGGTGTGGTAACAATTACTTGTGCTCTAGTGAAGTCCGCCACAACGCAACAGATGCACCATCTCTCTCTCCACTTATGCCACTGATCCCGAAATTGTGGATCTTTCACTAACGTTTGGATGTGGATTATTAAGTTCGAGCACTTTCAAACATGTCACGTGACAGAATACGCAAACGAACTGAGCTTTGAAACACATCAGCATTCGGATTAGTTCAAATTTTCATATTCGAGTTTGATCCAGTTGAATTACCTGAAGAAGAACCAGAAGGGGTTAGAAAACATTTGTTTTGGAAGATTAAACTTTGTACACACCGGTTATAGGTTCAAGTAGGTCATATTTTGTTATATACAGCCCAGTGTGCAGTTGATGTTTTATAATATATGTCTTCATTATTCTTTTATAACTCTGTCCATCGATCAGATAACTAGCAAATGTACATGATAAAATTTATGAAAAATTAAAATTTAGAATATAATGTTGCAGTTTTTTAAAATTGAGCAATTTTTCTTAAATTCAAAATGTCCTGTAGGAAAGAAAAAAGTAAGAAGAAAAAGGAAAATTGAAAATATTGAGAAAATCCTTATGAGCTGTTTTAATCATACTCATCATGCGTTCAGCCAGGTACAAAATGTGGGGCAGCCTGGTTGTGATGGATGGGTCCTTATATATCTGGGACAGACCACCCCCAAAAAATTTTTGACCATCTACATTCAGTCTGGGTTCCAAGAGCAGTAGGCTGATCGCATAACCACCTTGCATAAGTGGGCATCATGCTTATTCTACGTTTCAAGACTGGATATTTTTGTCAATGGTCAATTATAAATTAACCAAGTAACTCATTTCATTGATTAACATAAAAGAATTCAACAAAAACTGAAATAAATGAATGAGTTATGCCAAATGTTGATTATTACGCTGCATTGCGGTTTTGAAAAAACAATATAAAGATACAACACGGTTTCAAAATATGAAATAAAAGAATTCACTTGTGATTTATATTTTTTGAATATTCAGCATTGATGAAAACACATCACTTACTGTAAAATGAAAATTATTTTTCTGTAAAGTTTCATTTCTTTAAGGACTAGTTGTACAAGTTAGTGTTTATACTATCAAATAACTATCCACAGAATAAATGTAAACCTTGTCACTTGTTGCACAAATTACTTTAACTTGGCAGATAGCTGAAACATTCTTGTAGTTGGGTTACCACAAACAACAGCAAAAAGATGGAAGAGAGCAAAATGAGTAAGTGAGAGAATGGAACAGATTGAAGTGTAAATGAAAATACGCATCAGCAGATTTGATAGATACTAGCTACAATATTTTAATATGATGAAAAATGATTAAAAAATTATATTGTATAAAGTAAGAGTCATTCGGCTCTTATAATTAATGTACTGTAAACTTGCAACTTTTTAAATCAACTTCTTGAAACTTACAGTTGCTGTAAATTATACTATCTTTTTTATAATAGTCTGCAAATATTAGAATAAACTTCATTTACATAATCTAAATACAGGTTATCTATATTAGAATCAGAACTGATCATTCAACTTGTTACTTTGCTAACCTAAAGAAAAAATTTAATTATCAAAATTGGCCAGTCATATAGCAATTTATCTTTAAGATTTACACTCATCAAGGGTAATTTTGAGATTAAAACTTCTGCAACTATCTCTAAAATTTTCAACATTCCAGAATATACTTTTAACACAAATTACTAAATACTAATTTTAAAATTATCTCAAATACTAACTTGATTTTCTGTATTTAATTTTTGGTTTATTTGTAATTACTTCCCAGAACATAGTGATAATAAATATTCATATTTACCTATTGCAAAATGATGCAATTCCCCATAGAACAGCAACTATTGCCATGAGGATAATAATAGGCACAATAATTACATATAAGACACTCCAATCTAGTTAAGAAAAACAAATAAATAATTCACTTATTTATATTTTAAGTAAAATTTAAAAGGATCAAATTAAGAAATTAAAAAAATTACCATAACTTACCACAGTTACTTTCTTTGTCGCCAAAATGAACTCTGAGAAAGTCTTCCATCCAAAATGTTTTACAGATGCAACGTTTAGTGTAAGAATCACAAGATCCTTTGCCGGAGCATTGATTCTGACAAACTGTTATAAATTAAACAATTAAAGAAATATTCTAAGAAACTATTAACAAACAAAACAATATGAAGGAATTTTTGATTAATGTAATTATTTTTATTTTGAAATTTCTATCCAAAAAAATAGAATTTCTTACTTATATGAGAATATACTTTAATTTATACATTAATCATATAATATACTTTATTAACTGCATAATAAATTTATAAATCTTGAGCATGACCAATGCTGGAATGGCCAACCTGTGGGTATGGCTACTACAACAAGAATTGAGTAAAAAGGAAAATATTCAAAATATTTTGGTGGTGTGGACCTGTAGTCAGCATAAAGTTGCTGAAGTGTTTCACAGGATATATCTAGAATTTCCACCAAACACACATTGTGTTCCGAATGCAGCCTGTTAACTCTTTGGCATTCTCTTGCTGACAGGTCTCCACCATCAAAATAACTTGAAGTGTAGTGTTCCCTCTTTGCATGACACTATGTTAAATAATACACAAAAATTAACATAATTTCTAAGGTTTCAGACTTATTGGACAACCTGTATACATAATAATAATAAATCAATATAANCCAGACGTAAGCTGTTGCCAAATTTACCTTCTCAGTTCGGTTAACCTGCTAAATTGCTTTATACTCAAAAAAGTCACTGCGTGTATATATACGTATATGTTTTATCCCAATTAAAAATCATTTATAGAGTACTCAAAGTATGTTCTCTAATTTAATTTGCAATTGTGAAATTAAGTGTTCTGTCCAAAATCTCAAAGCCAATAAATGTTTTTAAGAACTAAACTATTTTTAAAAAAGTTAGTAAAAATTATATTAATAGATTTTACTATCCTTATGATTTTGTTATATTCTCTTTATAAGTCATCATCTACAAATCAGTCATTTGGTATATTGATAATAAATATATAAATTAAATAACTTACCTACAGTATCAATACTTAGTACTGACGTTTCTAACAAACTATTGTTAGTTTTTAATTTTTTCTTCAATCGACTAACAACTTCTGTGCCAGGAACTAGCAGTGTCTGGCCGCTAGGAGATGTTCTTTCTACCACAAATATCATTGTTACTCTAAAACAAAGTATAAAAATATACTTTATAATAAAATAAAAATTGTTAAAATTAGGCTTTGAGCAATTAACATTTCAAATTCTAAAAAAGTCCAAAATTTTTATTTATTTATTATTTGAACTGTTTTCAAACATGATAATATGAGTATTTTTAAAATATATATATACAAAGTAGTCAAGTCTTGTCATAACATGAGTCAAATATCTGATTTTCTCAAATTTTTCTGTGGCTGTAAAGCTGTTATCAAGCTGTTTCTCAAGAATCTGTTTACAGAATAATTACACTGTATATAGTTTCTTTTGAGTGGATTGTCAATGTCCTTCTATCCCAATCAGAATGCCAATAACATACTGTCGCAAAATTGTAATGGCATGGTGTTGTGTTCAGTACAAAGCTGTAGTGTTTGTTTATCTTAATTGTCTGTTTTCACATGGGATGTAAGAGAAAATGAAGATCAAAGAGTGAAGGGTGCAAGGAAAATACATTTAAGTTACAAATATTGACAATTTTGACTTAATAAGACTTTATTATATAAAAAACCCTAAATGCTGTGCCTGAAACCTGTAAACCAATGTTCTTCAACTTTTTCACATCTGCTGACCAGCAAAATTAGAAATAATATTTTGCAGACTGCATGCGGCCACCTGCTATGGGAAGTAGTCCAATCATAATTACACTCATTAATGCACATGCATTGCTTATATTAATTATTATATTGTTAAAATATGCAAGGATAAAATGTAATTTACCCTAATTTTGGAAAATATCACAGATAAATGTAATTAAACATTGTCCTAAATTTTCTCTATATTTCTTTTCTGTATTTTAAGTTAAGTTAAATTAGGTTAAAACTGAGATTACAGTATATATGTATGATTTATTTTGAATTCAATTAAAAAAGAAAGATTATAATCAGTTTTTTTATACTAAAAAATATAGTAATTATGACAAATATTTCTCATATTAAAACTGCATTTAAGAATTCCTATAACCTTGAGGCAGAAATAAAAATCATTGTAAATAATATTTATTAAGATTATTATTCTAAAATTACAATTTTTAGTTAGTGTGACATCAGTCTATAAAATTTTACGCGGACTGGTAGGAAATATCAGCGGAGGGGTGCCAGTCTGTGGACCAAAGGTTGAAGAACACTGCTGTAGAGAGTTTCAAATTAATGCAGTTCAACTTAGAGAGGTTTTACTGTATTATATATATTTTAAAACATATTGTAAAAAATATAAATAATAGACTTATACAAATAGAAATATTGAAGACTTCCTTGTCATCCTTAGTTGAATTATATAATTGAAGTACTATAGTTATTGTTTTTTTATAATAAATGTCACTGTTACTTTAATTTACTATTGCTTTATGGTCAACTAGGTAAATATTTATTTAATTCTCTGGACTTTATGAACGTACAGTTAGCTTTCAGTTGCCTGTTTAAAGTTAAGTGCAAGTTACACTTACAATCTGTGTGTGCATCACACTACATAATAATCAGCAGACTAACGAAAATTTTACATGTGTAAGTAGTATGTACTAAGTTTATATAAAAGATTGAATAAGTATATGGATGTTGAAATATATACAGTAAATATGTTCTCAAACAATGTATTTATGTGTATGCAATTGTGTAAAATTTAAATTAATCAAAGGACAAACATAATGCATAAAATAATGAATTCATTAAAATTTTATACTTTCATCTCACAACTTATTTATATAATTCATGGTAGAAAGTAATATAGTATAATATTCTTGACTAAATCAAAATAATACAATTGTTTTTATAATAGGAAATTCCTTTTTGCTTTCTTTGTAACTCATGTTAATAAATAATTTTAGTAGCTTGTAAATATTTCAAAGAAAAAATAAGCAATAAAAAATTTTATAATAATAAATAATGCTTCTAGCCCACGACTTTAGTTTTATATTAATAAATTAATTTCTTAAATAGATATTTTGTCAAATAACTATAATTAAAATCAATTTGAAATAAAGACAAATAATTTCATAAATACCTGTTAGATTCTTGTCCAGCATGCAATCGCAACAAACGTACATGAACAGAATCACCTTCTCTTATTAGCAATTCCAGTTGTTTTAAAAGAGTATCCTTTAAAACATAAAATATTCATTTTATAAAACATCAACATACATTCCATCTTAACAATTATTAATGACTATCATTTTGTTTTGTTTATTATGTAAAAATATATATTATGATATTAATATTAACAAATTTGTACTTTTTTCTGTGACTTAAAAATACATTCTGTATTATGTATAATGTACAATATCTATTATACATAATATAATGTAATTATTCTTCAAGAATTGATATCCATTGCTACATATTAAATACTTTATTGCTCAATACCAAACATTTAAAGAAATATAAAGTTATTCAAAGAATATGTTTAATTATTTTCATAATATATTCAGCTTGTTTTATTATATACTTACAGATAGGACCAGCATGGCCCAGATTAAAAGTAAGAAGGACAAACATTGAAATTAAAACTATGTTAAATTTTAGGCTGACTCAAATAAACAGCATTATTTCAGCAGAGCTTCCAAATCCAGAAAACTATACTTTTTAAAATCATCACTAAGAATATGATTCATGGATCATTTGCCATCTTCATTACTTATTTTACAAGGCTTACTTAATGTAATTATGCATTATGTAATCACTATTTTACAGTAACTTATATTATCCTTAGTTTCCTAGAAAGTAAGTTTGAAAAAGTTGGTCTGGATACAGGGGTCACTCTGGAAAATTTAAAATATCGCAACCATTTTGCCAGTTTAAAATTTTTTTCATCACTTCAAATTTATTGCCACTATTTTTATTTCTAATTAATGCAGGTGTGTAGACTCATCAGTTTGGTGACTATAAAGTGATAGGAACATGATTTTGTCACTTACAAGGAGAGGGTCGGACATTCAATCTCCGATTCGAATGAAACTTGGTGAGCACATAGCCTTAAACACAAACAGCTCCTTGTCCAAATAATATGACCCACTTCTCAAATGTTTCCGAAACACAGGCCTCTGAAAACAGTGTGTTTAGCTTGTAAGTCTTTGGAAGTTTCACGTCTCTGATTGACAATACCCGAGTGGATAAAATGCTAGGCACTGGGGCTAGACAATGTATGTTCAAACCTTTAAAATATTAGTTGAATTTTGTATTTTTTATGTGTTACATAATTATTATTTTATAATATCATTAGCATTATTATTACTATTATTATTCTCACATTTAAAACTTATAAAACAAGAGATTAAAAAATCATATCATTTCCTATTTAGCAAAAAAAGAAATCTCCGTATATTTAACTCTTTTATGGTGTTAAATAAAACTTTTATTTATTCATATTAACTCTCAGATATGATATTGTGATATTTGAAGTGTAACAAACATGAGCGCACAAGAAAATTGTCCCTAATATTAACAATTAAAAAAAATAAAATGCTGCGACTATGCTACCCAATTTTCATATCACTTCTCTTTATGTCCGAGTGCAGTAACATCTGAAGCTTATTCACTTGTGAGGACATAGTATGTAATCACAAGTGAAAATATGTGAAAATAAATGTGAAAAAATATAAGTTTTATTTATGTAAAAGACTTGGATCTACAGAGACTTATTTTTGCTAAACAGGAAACAATATCACAATTTTTAATCTTTTGTTTTATAAACTTTAAATATGAGGAGTAATAACAGTAATAATAATGCTAATTAGGCAGTAAAATAATAAAATAATTATATTAAACATTAAAAAAATCTAAAATTGCAAAGGTTTGAACCTACACTACTCCTAAGTGTTGAAACGTCCAAAGACATAAGTCTTTGGAAGTTTCACATTTTGGAGCTTAATACTCAGTTTTTAGATGTCTAATTTTTGGAAACGCTTGAGAAGTATGTCCTGTTATTTGGACAAGGAACTGCTTGTTTTTATCGCTACATGCTCACAAAGTTTCGTTCAAATCAAACATCTGAATGTCTAGCCATCCCTTTGTTAGCAATAGGAATTATTTTTGAATAATTTTTTTAATGAATAATTTGAAATAACAGATTTAATCACAATAAAACAATATTTCACATGTTCTGTCATGTCAAAATTTTTATTTTGGTCTACTCAAAAAAGATCAAAATGAAAAAAAAAAACAGCCTAAAAATTCCCCAAATTTTGTGTCAGTCGATAACCCCAATCTGGAAATGCTGGACAGCACTGCACAAAAATTGCCTTCAATTCTCAATGTCACATCCTATTTTTCTGCCCAAACTTGCCACGTGATGTCATGAAATCACTAGGTGTGTGGTGTGTGCAATACCCATCACACATGAGCTAAACATTCTACGTTTTGCCTGAAGTGTGCATCCTGATTCAATTTCACACTGAATATCTAAATAAGCAACTACAGTTTTTATTACCAGTATTACGTTTTTATCACCACTTTAATAAAAATATCGTCAAATGACAATTTTCGCACTATGCAGTGAGACCTGTGGATAGGTGAAAAAATTTAGAAGTGTATAGGGAAGGGAACAGACAGATATTCTATTTTATATTTTTATATACAAACAATTGCCAAATTATATTGGGTTATATTACTACTACTACTACTATTATTATTAATTAAATGCTAAGTAATTTGGCATTAGAGAGAGGCATGTATTAGGTGCCATCTATTGCTAAATTTAAAAACTAATTAAATTAATATTTTATTAATTTAATTAGTACTTAATTAATAATAGTAGTAATAATATAGCCGGGCATAATTTGGCAATCATTTGGCTTTAATACATAACTATGGGGTTTAGATGTTTATATTTGTATATAGGTTATCAAAAACACAGTATTATTGCCAGAAGATTGTTATTTTATTTATGAATGATATTGTATACAAATAGCAAGAGAAAAAGATTGACTCTTACACTAATATTTTCCGTATGAAGATAAATTAATACTGATGATAACAAAGACTTGAAAGTAGATTTAAATTAAAGCAATCATCCTTAATCTCACACTAGCAAATTAATTTTGATAAAAGACAATTAAGTAGATTTATTTTGTTTAAACTTCACTTAATTGGATAATTAACTAAATAGAGAGATAGTAACAGAATTCTTTATTATTTTTCATTGTAGTAATTTTTAATAATAAAATTTGTTTTAATATAAATTATAACTTCAAAGTAAAATACACAAATGGGAGATATTTCTCAAACTATAAATTACTGTATGAAATTAGTAGGAAATTCATATTCATAATTATAAAAATCACTGTTAATTTTTATTTATTTCCTATTTACAAATAAATTAATTGAATTCAAAGTCATTGAATAGACCAATGCAGGGTTCTAACTCAAATCTTTGTTTTAAATTCCATGACTTTCCTGACCAATTTTGTACAAATTCCTGACCCTCGCATCCCTTACAGTACAGCACACTGACAAAATAAAACATCACTTGACTAACTATGCACATACACTATTGCTTCTCCAACTTTTTAACTGATTATTTTTTCTAATTAAATTAACAGTTATATATTTTTTATAATGAATGAATTAGTAAAATTAAAAATAAAATAAAGACAGAACTATGGCATGTATTCTCTACATAAAACTAAAATGTTTTATTAAATAAAACTAATTTATCCTGTTATTAACTTATAATTGTAAAACTTCATGCCTTTGAAAACAAGAAAAAGTCATTAAATATTATTAAGAAATTCTGTATAATCCATGTACAAAAGTATAAATTTATTAAATTTGTCCCTTAATAAATTTTTCAAACTTTATAAAATATTAATAAACTGGAAGAAAAGTTTTGGAAATCAAAAATTGTTTTGTTATGAGATCAAAATTATTGAAATGAAAAATGATAAATAACTTAATATTAATTCAAGTGGTATTAATCATTTTTCGGCTCTTTGTTATCATTTTTTTCATCAGTTTATTAACACCTGCCTTCAAATCGAAAATGTAAATTGTGAAAGATAGAGTTAAAATATTGTATGTTTGTATATTTTGTGCGCTATAATTTTGGGGAAATTTTGTGTATGTTTGAGTGAAATTATGGATCCTAAGATTATTCTGCACCCCTTTTCATAAGTTGCATTGTACCACAATAGTTCCTGCTGCCTTCAAACAGCTACACTTGATCAGCCATACTGTCAGCAAACAAAATCAATAAGGCAACCACGGAAACAAATTCCCTGGCTTTCCATGACTTTTTCCAAACACTATTGAAAATCCCTGACTTTCCAGGAACCCTGCTAATGTTAAAAAAGTGATGTACAGGTAATTTTGAAAAATATTAACTTACATCAGAACTTAATATAAAACCTTTGTAGTAGTTTTTCATTTTAACTTTAAATTATGAACAAATTCTTTGTGTTTAACTCGTTATCATTATTTACAATAAACAGGCCTTGGAACAGAAAATGACTTCAAAATAAGTAATAGTAGTAACTCAAAGCAAGGAATATGTGACTGAAATAAAATTAGTTGGCCATGATGATATACATCATTTGTAAGAAGTTGAGTCTGAATGTTATTTTATGTTTATAGGTTTTGTTTCATTTGACATTGTAATTTAGTTTGAGAATATTTTCTTTTGTTTAAGGACAATAACTTATTTTCATATTAACTAATAGTAATTACAAATAAAGCAACCATAATTTGTATTTATGACCAGAAAATATCACAAATCGAGCTTCTGGCTATTGGTACTGTTTGCCACGATAGTGTAATTAATGTTCACACAAGATCTAGACATTTGTGTGCATCTCTCATATGTTTACACGAGAAATTCTTTTCTCGCTTCAGCATAAACAGTGTTGTAATTGTGAATTATGGTTTAAAAAGTTTATTTTTCTGTGTTTTTCCTTCTTCTCACATTTGCATAAATACAACCTTACAGCAAAGACTTTGAACAGACATCAATTTATGGCAAAACCAAAGCCAGAACTTGTTCTTGAGTGTGTTGTATCCAAGTCAGTTGACCAAAATTAACAAAAGGGGTCTTTAATTATTCTTTGCTATATCTGTATATTTTGATCCGTTCTTTACTCGGTTTCTTTATTTTTTATAGAACATGACCATAGCATAATAAGTACTGGATCAGTCAGCCAGTTCAGTAATTAAATGCAAGAGGTGTCTATTAAAAGATATATGGCATATCTCTCTTAAAAAAAATTAAGAGATAAATCACCTGTATATTTACTGTTCTTTCTAATAAATTATCTTCTTAAATTTTGCAAATTAAAATTTTTAACTGGTTCAAATTATTAATTAAAAAAAGTTTCCAGAGTTGCAAATTATTAAAACTTAAAACAAGACATTTCATTAAATAAAAAATTCAGAAACAAAATGCATAACTTTTCCGGCTAAAGCACGACGACGTAACAGACAAATTTAAAATTTAGTTTTGCGGCACCACAAGATTTTGTTAAAAAACAACATTTATATTATTAATAATTACAGAACTGCAAATAGTTTAATTTTGAGAGTAGAGACAAATTTTACATAAAATTATATCTATCTATCTTTCTATCTTCCCACTCCTTGATCTATCATCACCAAAATTTAACAGCATCAATGCCCTTTATACACAAGCAACCACACTAAATTTCATTACTCCATCCTGAGATATTGAGAGAAATAGATGCCAATGCACATAAAATTTTTTTTTTTTTTTATTTTTGCTACTTTTGGATTCAGATCACAAAATGCAAACATTTACAAAAAACTTGGAGGATCAAATCTGACGATTCCAATATTTTCCCATATACATAACAAGTTGGGAAAGTAAAACACTGTTTTTATTTATTATTCATCAATAAATCCTGTAATCTGTTACAAAGCCATAAATTTATTAAATTGTTCCTTAATAAACTTTCCATTTTATAGACTATTAACATACTTGAAAAAATTTTTATCGGTAATTTTATTACACTATCAAAATTATTAAAACAAAGATTAAAAAATTATAAATAGTGTCATTTTAAATTATGTTTATTTATAATTTTTTTCACTTGGTTTTCATTTTTAGACTGTTTTATTAACAGCGTCCTCAAATTAAAGGTGTGAAGGTTAATTGTGAGGGGCTCAAAAGAAATTAAAATACAATTATATATCTTCTTACTTAATTTGTCTACAAGGTCCTAATTTTATTCCTAGGACTTACTATACTGGTGACTGTTCTGCAATTTAAGAAAACATATTAGGACCTTGTAGACAAATTAAGTACTACTAATAATTATATCTTAAATAATAACAATTGTAAATTCTCAATTAAATTGATCACCTGCTGTCCTTGCGTATAGCTTTTCATGTCTGCATTAAGAACAATTTCTACTTGATCCATTAAATTTGACGGGTCTTTCACTATAAGAGAAGCTGTGTCGATGGCAGAGGCACCCTGTGAATCTGTCACAATAAGCCTGAATAAATATCTTCCAGGTATCATATTGATCAACTTTAAAACTGATTGGTTGTCAGAATTTTCTATAACATCCTAAAAGTAACAAGAATAAAAGCTTAATTTGTATGTAATAAACATATAATTATGATCTACAATGTGAAATAGTTAGACTTACACCTGCCGCAAGAGATGTTTGATCACGAACCCATTTATATGATACTATACCGACATCATCACTCGACTGATTTCCATTCATCATGACAACATCGCATGGAAGATAAACTGTTCTATCGCCACCCGCATTTGCTTGTGGAGGAGCATTTGCAGCTATACATTTCAAAATGAAAAAAAAATCATTACAATAATTTAATTAAAAATAAAAATAATATAATTTAACTTTTTAATGAACCTCATAATGTACAGTACATGTCATACTGTTTTCAAAATAAATTAAATTAAAGCAACTATAGAAGAATGTAATTATATCAAACCTTTAATCTGCATGAAACTACAGAAATCTGTACTATTTTGTTTGATTTAAATATAATATTCATACATTATTATTAATTACATATGCAGTGATCCATTAATTAAACTCTACCGATGCAAATCTAAATGGAGGATGCTAAGTCTCATTAATTATATTTCAATAAGTGTGAATATTATAAATAAAAAATGTTACACAGCTATGCCCTTGACATTCATGAATACTAATTTTTAATCATAGTCTTAAAATCTTAGTAATGTTAATTAATAAGTTACATTCAGATGTACACTTAAGAAAATGTTGGATGCTTTTAGTACTCAAATCTCATTGAATAGACAATGAAACTACAACAATACAAAGGAGATTATTGTTAGGCTTGACTATGAACTCTGTGTGAATTTTTGACAAAATATGCTCATAGTAAAAAACTGTAAACAACATTGATATCAAACTTTTAGATTCAGATATAAATTTCAATGTGAAAGGTTGTGTGACAAATAATTAATTTGTATAGTGAAATTACACTGAATTGATAAGTGTCATTGAAAAAGGAAAGAAAATATTTTTCAGATTAATATTTTGGTAAATATTAAAATAAGTTATTTTTGAAAATAAAATAATTGTAATCTATAAATCTGTAAATTTATTATCTTTACAATTAATTTGTTATATTAGAGTCAGATTTAAATCTGTTATATGATTTCTTTATAAAATTAATATGAGAAAACCTTAAATCAGTAAAAATAGAATGTTTATTAATGAAACGTTTTCAACCATGTACAACAACCATCTNTACAGGGGTCACTCTGGAAAATTTAAAATATCGCAACCATTTTGCCAGTTTAAAATTTTTTTCATCACTTCAAATTTATTGCCACTATTTTTATTTCTAATTAATGCAGGTGTGTAGACTCATCAGTTTGGTGACTATAAAGTGATAGGAACATGATTTTGTCACTTACAAGGAGAGGGTCGGACATTCAATCTCCGATTCAAATGAAACTTGGTGAGCACATAGCCTTAAACACAAACAGCTCCTTGTCCAAATAATATGACCCACTTCTCAAATGTTTCCGAAACACAGGCCTCTGAAAACAGTGTGTTTAGCTTGTAAGTCTTTGGAAGTTTCACGTCTCTGATTGACAATACCCGAGTGGATAAAATGCTAGGCACTGGGGCTAGACAATGTATGTTCAAACCTTTAAAATATTAGTTGAATTTTGTATTTTTTATGTGTTACATAATTATTATTTTATAATATCATTAGCATTATTATTACTATTATTATTCTCACATTTAAAACTTATAAAACAAGAGATTAAAAAATCATATCATTTCCTATTTAGCAAAAAAAGAAATCTCCGTATATTTAACTCTTTTATGGTGTTAAATAAAACTTTTATTTATTCATATTAACTCTCAGATATGATATTGTGATATTTGAAGTGTAACAAACATGAGCGCACAAGAAAATTGTCCCTAATATTAACAATTAAAGTTGGCACTTTAACATTACATGTGTGGCTGAGCTTTATGTGATAAAACATACTTATTAATTATTTAAATATTTTAACTTTAATATTAATCCACTAATGACACTTAACTTACTTTGTATCACATTAACTTTTGTTTCAGCCGAACTACAAGTTTGTTTCTCATCACAAACTGTAAGTTTAAATTTATATTCGCCTGGATTCGCTTCTTTTATTTTTGCATAAGATGTATTAGAATCGTCAATCTTTAACAGTTTAGGTCCTCTAAAAATATAAAAACAGAACAAAATATAGTTTTAGAAAGTATTAATTAATGTAATTTAAAAATATGGTAATAATTACACAATTTGATCCCAATGCCAACTGCTAATTTTTATGTCATCTTTGCTGTTATTTCCATTTAATATTATCGGGTTGGAGAGTGGTAATTTCACTTCTTGATTGGGACCCGCATCGGCCACAGGAGGAGTGTTACTTTCCGGTTTGACAAAAACATGCACCTCCGTTTCGGACATCTGATCGGCCGTGTCTGTAATTTTCAGGATAAATTTATACACGCCCACTTCTAAATGAGATAGGTGTAGATATGGACTAGTAGTTCCCTATTATAAAAGTAAAATTGTATTATTACCTTATACTTATAAAATATTTTGTCTAAAGAATTATATTTAACGAACCTCCATGTCAACGGGTTTATCTGTGTCAGGACTTTTGGTCCATTCCCAACTTTTGATGCCTTTATCATCCGTGCTTAAATTACCATTTAAAATAACTGAATTCTGTGGTGAGGGGCTCAAAAGAAATTAAAATACAATTATATATCTTCTTACTTAATTTGTCTACAAGGTCCTAATTTTATTCCTAGGACTTACTATACTGGTGACTGTTCTGCAATTTAAGAAAACATATTAGGACCTTGTAGACAAATTAAGTACTACTAATAATTATATCTTAAATAATAACAATTGTAAATTCTCAATTAAATTGATCACCTGCTGTCCTTGCGTATAGCTTTTCATGTCTGCATTAAGAACAATTTCTACTTGATCCATTAAATTTGACGGGTCTTTCACTATAAGAGAAGCTGTGTCGATGGCAGAGGCACCCTGTGAATCTGTCACAATAAGCCTGAATAAATATCTTCCAGGTATCATATTGATCAACTTTAAAACTGATTGGTTGTCAGAATTTTCTATAACATCCTAAAAGTAACAAGAATAAAAGCTTAATTTGTATGTAATAAACATATAATTATGATCTACAATGTGAAATAGTTAGACTTACACCTGCCGCAAGAGATGTTTGATCACGAACCCATTTATATGATACTATACCGACATCGTCACTCGACTGATTTCCATTCATCATGACAACATCGCATGGAAGATAAACTGTTCTATCGCCACCCGCATTTGCTTGTGGAGGAGCATTTGCAGCTATACATTTCAAAATGAAAAAAAAATCATTACAATAATTTAATTAAAAATAAAACTAATATAATTTAACTTTTTAATGAACCTCATAATGTACAGTATATGTCATACTGTTTTCAAAATAAATTAAATTAAAGCAACTATAGAAGAATGTAATTATATCAAACCTTTAATCTGCATGAAACTACAGAAATCTGTACTATTTTGTTTGATTTAAATATAATATTCATACATTATTATTAATTACATATGCAGTGATAAATTAATTAAACTCTACCGATGCAAATCTAAATGGAGGATGCTAAGTCTCATTAATTATATTTCAATAAGTGTGAATATTATAAATAAAAAATGTTACACAGCTATGCCCTTGACATTCATGAATACTAATTTTTAATCATAGTCTTAAAATCTTAGTAATGTTAATTAATAAGTTACATTCAGATGTACACTTAAGAAAATGTTGGATGCTTTTAGTACTCAAATCTCATTGAATAGACAATGAAACTACAACAATACAAAGGAGATTATTGTTAGGCTTGACTATGAACTCTGTGTGAATTTTTGACAAAATATGCTCATAGTAAAAAACTGTAAACAACATTGATATCAAACTTTTAGATTCAGATATAAATTTCAATGTGAAAGGTTGTGTGACAAATAATTAATTTGTATAGTGAAATTACACTGAATTGATAAGTGTCATTGAAAAAGGAAAGAAAATATTTTTCAGATTAATATTTTGGTAAATATTAAAATAAGTTATTTTTGAAAATAAAATAATTGTAATCTATAAATCTGTAAATTTATTATCTTTACAATTAATTTGTTATATTAGAGTCAGATTTAAATCTGTTATATGATTTCTTTATAAAATTAATATGAGAAAACCTTAAATCAGTAAAAATAGAATGTTTATTAATGAAACGTTTTCAACCATGTACAACAACCATCTTCAGGTTCTAGAATGGAATTCAATAAACAGAAGGACATTTGAAATCAAAAACATTCAAAAATTACAAATTTACATAGCGAGTCACGTGTGCAGGAGCATAAACATATTAAATAATACATAGAAAGTAAAAATAAATAATTAACAATAAAATATTAAATACAAAATGAAATAATTAAATAAATGCAGCAATGTATACAAATATTGTGAGTAAAAACATAAATATAGAAATTTGGTAATAAACAAAACTATAAAATCTCAAAAGAATCTTCAATGGTTTGGAGAGCAAATGAAACCACTGAAGAATCTTTAATTAAAGTTAATAAGAAAGGGACTGCCCTTTCTTACTAGCAATAGAAAATTTCAAAAGTTTCCAAATATTTACAGTAAGTCATATCATAGATGAAATGTGTAGTAGATGTGCTCTATCGAAAAAAACATCTATGTATATATTACTGTATTTATTTAATTATTTTATTTTGCTATGTAAATTTGTAATTTTTAAATGTCTTTAATTTCAAATGTGCTTCCTGTTCTGTTTACTGAATTCCATTCTAAAATTTGAAGAATTTCTAGAACTTTTTACAAAAGAAACTAGAAAAAGTTAAAAGAAACTTATTTACCAAGTTAAAAAAATTTAATTTTACAGAATGCATCATCCATTTAAACATATGCTGTTCACTCCATTTATATAAATGCAATTTACGCAATGATTTGCAGGAAGTGATTGCTTGTAAAAATCAAGGAATGATTGTAATCTTAATTATTTAAATATTTTAACTTTAATATTAATCCACTAATGACACTTAACTTACTTTGTATCACATTAACTTTTGTTTCAGCCGAACTACAAGTTTGTTTCTCATCACAAACTGTAAGTTTAAATTTATATTCGCCTGGATTCGCTTCTTTTATTTTTGCATAAGATGTATTAGAATCGTCAATCTTTAACAGTTTAGGTCCTCTAAAAATATAAAAACAGAACAAAATATAGTTTTAGAAAGTATTAATTAATGTAATTTAAAAATATGGTAATAATTACACAATTTGATCCCAATGCCAACTGCTAATTTTTATGTCATCTTTGCTGTTATTTCCATTTAATATTATCGGGTTGGAGAGTGGTAATTTCACTTCTTGATTGGGACCCGCATCGGCCACAGGAGGAGTGTTACTTTCCGGTTTGACAAAAACATGCACCTCCGTTTCGGACATCTGATCGGCCGTGTCTGTAATTTTCAGGATAAATTTATACACGCCCACTTCTAAATGAGATAGGTGTAGATATGGACTAGTAGTTCCCTATTATAAAAGTAAAATTGTATTATTACCTTATACTTATAAAATATTTTGTCTAAAGAATTATATTTAACGAACCTCCATGTCAACGGGTTTATCTGTGTCAGGACTTTTGGTCCATTCCCAACTTTTGATGCCTTTATCATCCGTGCTTAAATTACCATTTAAAATAACTGAATTCTGTGGTATGTTGATAATAACATCAGGACCTGCATTTGCAGTCGGCGGATAATCCATTTCTGAAGATATTAAACAATTTCTATATTATATTCTTTCAAATTCTAAATCTAATAATAATAATAATTTATTATTTTAAATATTAATATAGCTCAAAGCTCTATAATATATCTCTATTAGCTATTTCCAAAATTCCTGTATATTTTTCCTCTGGTGGGAAAGTAGGATAGTAGGATTCTGTTTTGATAGCATTTTGTTGGGTAGATTCTGTGATGACTCCTTCATCAGGTATATATAATCATTAAGACATTCAATTAAATATGAAGTTTAGTATTTCTAAATCAAATTATCAAAACAAAGATCACAAATTTGTTATTTTATATAATTTATTCTGTTTTATTTAATTACACTGTAAAAGTACAAAATGTTCTAAAAGAAAATTTAAATTAAAATTTAAAATTGCTCTTGTGTTTCATAACAATAAGACAAATACAATTGTCACAGCAGTTCCAGCAGAATTTCAACTACAGAAAAAATAAAAACTTCAGCATAAAAAAAATCAGTAATATGTTTCAAGTTAATGTATTTTGTCACTGACACATTGGCATATATATATATATCTCAGAGGTTAAACCAATGACAGTAAGAAAAATTTCTCATTGTTTTAAATGGATATAAAAAAATAAAGTGTACATGTTATGTATAGTGTACCCATTTCTACTCCTAATGTATGTAGTGTTGTATAAAATAAAAATATATATGTATCTTGAAAGGGATACATATATCCCTTTCAAGATACATATATATTTTTATATAAATGCAATTTACATAAAATTTACATAAATGCAATTTCAAGATACATATATATTTTTATATAAATGCAATTTACGCAATGATTTGCAGGAAGTGATTGCTTGTAAATCACTTCCTGCAAATCATTATTGTGGGCCCAACCAAACCATGGTGAGAAGGATTAACAGATTCAATTAGTGCCAACAAACTCAGTGGAAAGACAATTGAGTGATTCAAAAATATTGGGGGAAATATTCCTCTCTGTCTATTATAAATTGGCATATGTGTGCAAAGTAACTATTTACAAAATCTTGATAAATTTTGGTGGATGGATGTGGAAGTACTACATCATATGTCCAGTTGCATGAACAAGATTCAGGGAAAATTAAATAAGTCCCAGGAAAATTTGTGATAGAAAAATAACAACATGGCAATAGCTGCAAAAACTTTACAATAAAACAGAACAGCGTCTTGGCTAAGCGTGTAGAAATTAATTGTGAAAATTTGCCAAAACACAGTGAGATCCTGTACTTTAAAAGTGAAATTAGAACATTCAATATGCAAATGAAAAGTTTAAAAAATATTCTTTTAAATATGGATATGTGATCATAATTCTCGCATGAATTATGAGCGTGAGAAACATGTCAGTATCAGGTTTAGTGCATGGATAGCATTTGATTGATAAATTCCCAACCCTATAGCAGATTTCTGGTAGAGAAAAATGGTGGATGGAGTGATGCTTACTTTGTTTTTTATCAGTTCAGTCACATGTTACATCACTACAACTTGCATAGCTGTGTGTCTACAGTACGGATGACTCTGTCTTGGTTACTGAACCACAATTTTGATTTTTACAGAAATAAAAACCAAACCAAAGTATTAGAAGAAAGCAAGAAAGAAAATTTATCTTTATTTCAAAACTCTTTTCAACACTATTTAAAGGTTAAAATTTTTCTCTCTGCTCAAATTAAAACAAAATATTCACTTGTCCTTCCATGTGGGAAATTTGCAAATTAATAAAATGCATTTTATAACATTTTCTAATTTGACTTGATTAAATAGATAAATGAGTTAAACATTATATTATTTTTTTTTGTAAACTTCTGTAAGGTCCTTTCATTTTCATAATTTTTCATAGATATATTTCAAAGTTAATATTTTTTATTTTATAATAAATTTTAAATAATCATAAAAATATGGTTGCATTTTCAGAGAGAAAAAATAATGTAAAAGTTAGTAAAAAATTCTAAAAGAAATTATTACCTTTTTTGCAAAATATTAGTGCATTTCTTAAATAAATTCTCAGAAAAAAATTGCATGACTGTTATTACAAATAAATTTTGTATTTTTGAACATTATAAAGTTTGTTAATTAGCATTCTATGCTAAAAATAGGTCATCCACAGCATTAGTGATAATGCTTCCAACATTTGACTTTAATTTTATTTCCAATGTCCAATGTATTACATCAGGTTTACAATTGTATATGCTATCCTACAATGACAATACATGCTTAATTTGAATCGGTCTTTTAAAAAAAAAATTTTACATTAATTAATTTAGAAGTTTAGTGTTGTGTTGCAAATTATATAATAGGCCTATTTAATTATTTGTACAATTTAATTAAAATATTTCAAACTATGTATTAATTATTACTAATCCTTCTGTAAAATATTATTTTCTTTTGTGTACCAATGTGCAAAAATTTTGTTTACAATAGTCCTATTCTATTATTTGTATGATTAAATTTGAATTTTCCAAATTATGTAGTAGTAATTATTTATTTATTTATTTATAAAATGTTTTATCTTGTGTGCAACAATTTTCAAAGAAATTTTGTATTTCTTTTCATTGAAACCATGTCTTTATTTTCTTTTTGCAATTCACAATGAAGTGACATCCTAATACACTATACTTGAGATAACAAATTCATATTGACAGGAAAATTTAAAATGAAAAAAACAATTAAATAAATGGCTGTATAGAAAATATAGTGTCTTAGAATAGCACTTTATCATTCAAAAAGAAATTTTCTTTGTAAATTTATATTCTGGAAGAATTTTGGGTTCTAAAAGTATTCTGCATCCCTGGCTAGATGGCTGAAGTAATTAATGCATCAACATCCACTCTGGGGAACCTGGGATTGGATACAAATAGTCAAAAACTTTGGGGATTTTTTGGAAGTTATCTGTCCTGGATACATTGAGCCCCATGCCTTATCATTATTGTGGGCCCAACCAAACCATGGTGAGAAGGATTAACAGATTCAATTAGTGCCAACAAAGTAGAGAGCATCAAAAATCAAAAATGAAAGTTTACAAAATCATTAGAAACAATAAGAAAATTGTTCAATGTTACTTATTTAGACTTCATTCATAAAGTGTAATAATCTTACTATCCTATCATCTATACTAATTTGAAAGTGTCATTCTATGTCTTTGTTTCACAAGCATGATAAAGTGCATTCAATCAGACACTGGGCAGCTTTTTATCCTCTATTTGTTCTTTTTTAGTTGATATACATTTCGGGCCCACAATGCCCCTCCTCAGTCAACTTCTGTCCTGTATTACACATTAGCTAATTTTGAGTGATGTTCTAACATAGTTTATTAAAATTAGGTGTATGCATGATTATAGATTTTTCTTTTCCTTTCATTCTGTTGTGTTCTTTTAAGACAATTAAAAGATTGTAAATTATTAAAAGACTTTTTGTTCTTAACAAGAAGTCTTTTCATCAACAATACACATTTAGTTTAAACATTCCAGAAGGTTTCTTGTAGAAAGGAAACTTTCCCTTCTGCACAAAAAGAAAAACAAAGAACAGAAGAAATCAATAATGTAGTTTATTCAATTCCATGTACATGTAACACCAAAAAATATTATATAGGAGAGACTAAATGAAAAATGAAAGTTAGACTTAAGGAACATATAGCAAATTTAAAATACTGCAGGAACAACTCTGTGTTCTATGAACACTGTACACTATATAATTGTAACATAGACAAAAACAATATAAAAATTTCACAATAAGAAAAAGATGAATACAGTAGAAAATTTAAAGAGACTATAGAGATTCTGAATAATAAAAACAGTATAAACAAAAATCTTAACATCAAAATAAATGAGAACTGGTTACAAACATTGTAAAGAAACTGAACATAAAATTAAATAAGTATAAGCTTGGAGTTGGAAATATTAAACATTGTAATAAAAAGAACTATCATAAAAAAGAACTATTGTAAAAAAGATTATTATATTTTCATCATAAATGTATTTAAATTAGTTATGCATTACTAACAATGACCTGTGAAAATTGGGAAAGAAAAATATTGGCAGATGTTATTAAAAAATAATATCTCTTAATGACTTATAATTTTTTGATAATGAAAAATTTGGAAAAATCTAGCTATAGTTTAATCCTCTAAATAAATAGTAAATTAGGAATTTGGTGTGAGATTAAGCAATGAGGATAATGAAGTTCTGTATGAGTGAGGGCATGATTGGAAAATTTTCTTTTTACAAGAAACCTTCCGGAATGTTTAAACTTAAACGTGTATTGTTGATGTTTTAACAAAAAGTCTTTTAATAATTTACAAGCTTTTAACTGTCTTAAAAAAAAAAACACAACAGAATGAAAGGAAAAGAAAAATCTATAATTATGCATACACCTAATTTTAATAAACTATGTTAGAACATCACTCAAAATTAGCTAATGTATAATACAGAACAGAAGTTGACTGAGGAGAGAGGCAGTGTAGGCCCAAAACACGTATCAACTAAATAAGAATAAATAAAGGATAAAAAGCTACTCAATGTCTGATTGAATGCACTTTATTACGCTTGTGAAACAAAAATAATATTCTATCATTGTTATAAACATCCTAATGAAATAAATTCATTAATTTATCTAATGCTGTACTGCAAAGATAACTGGAAGTATTAATTATACAAACCTTTTAAAACAGTAAGATTAGCAATGGTAGAATTCAAAACACCATCTGAATCTTTTACGGTCAGTCTAATTGAAAATATAATATAAAGATTAGAAATCTAAACCATTGTTTTAAATAAGCAACAATAATGATTTCTCTTACTTAAATTTATAAAATCCCGGCATCAAATTTTTCAACTGTAATGTCGGTGCTTCATTGGACTGAACCGCGTAACCAATCGGAGCAACTACAGCTTCCCAGTGATACTGCACGATTTTATCATCGTCAGTACTGACTAAAACATCAAAATATATTTTAAAACATTTTAACTTTAAATGTAAAATATATTCATGAAAATAATTCTACTTACAGGAACCGTCGAGAACGGTATCTTTATTTGGTAGTTTGACTGTTGCATTAGCAGGTTGTATAACAGCCACTGGTGGCTTGTTTTTCCTTTTAGCTTTTAAGAAAAAGAATATCTTCTTTCATAAATTTTAAAATATTGCTTATTTTATTTTACATAACTGAATATTACATTTACATTTTAAACAATAATATAATGAATAAGTACTATTCATAAGATAATACTTGCATAACTTTTAATTAATTTGCAAATAATACTTATCCACAAAAATATAATATCCTTTAATATATAACAGTGAAAAACTAAAACTTTGGAATATCCTATTCTTTATTACTGAACAGTAAACATTTTTAAAAGTTTTCTTAATTCTAATATATGATAAGTAATTTAAACAATAAATATTTAATACCTGTTTGTTAAATCAAGTATTTAAGACAAAAAATTTCAGTTTCAAAGTAAAAATTTAGAACTAGTGTTTAATTTGTGAATAAAATGTGCTAAAAAGTTGGGTGGAGTTGAGGATTATAAATTACTTTGTATACATTTTAGTCTCCAAAAGACCTTTTATTATTCTACGTAATCACATATATTTTATGCTTTGTCAAGTCATAACTAATCATTTGTTGTTCTCCTTATGTAAAACACCCAAAATTTTGGTATCCCAGATTCAATGTTTAGAAAATTTTTATATATATGTACACTGAAAATTTATATATATATAATAAAATTGAAAAAAGAAATAAAATTGTTATATATATAATATAATAATTTTAATTCCTTTATATATATATTAAATAATTAATTAACATCTAAAAATATATTTTACTTTCATAGTTATAGAATATAGTTTCCTTTCAAACAATTCAGTTCATAGAACTAAAACTTTATTACAATGTAACTTACGAGGAAGGACTGTAACGTTAACTTGTGCTTCTCCAAGTGCTCCGGTACCAGTAACAGTCACTCGAAATGTATAAACACCAGCTCTAAGCTAAAAACAATTTTATTATTTTTTTAAAAAATTACTACTACCCTTCACACAAAAGGTAAATTTTCATATTAAATTAGACATATATTATGGCTTACAATATTGGTTTTAGGATAGCTGATATATGGTAGTGGGAGACAAACATGATGTGCAAAGTGTAAGCTTACTCACAGTGCAAACACACCAAGTTTAGACTCACATTTTCAGTAGAAATTGATTTTATTTTAATTATTAATTAAAATATTATTGCTATGATTTTTTACTGGTTGCTTCAGTTCTGGTTAACAGTTTACTGTATTATTTTATTTTTTCTATTCAACATTTCAAATAATTTTATAAAGAACATTTGAAGTAAATTTAACAGAAATATTGCCATTTTGATAACTTTAAAACTATCTGATTAAAATAATTTCAAAATACAAAAGCACAAACATAAAATTAAATAATATACTAACTTTTGACAATTTTAAAGTTGGAGTGTTTTGATCTTGCATAATACCAGTTTCATCTCCATCAGGATGGGATAACAAACTCCATTCATAATTGTAAGTTTCACCTTCAAAAATACAATAGTTTATAAAATTTGTCAAAATTTTCAAAAAAGCACATGATATATACTAAAAAAAAATACCTTCTTTAGGTTTGGCAATTGCATAAGCAGAAAGAGTAACTTCATTTTCAGGCAGTTGAATAACTTTATTATCACCAGCAGACACTACTAAATGCTGTATTGGAGGCGTAGTAGAAGAAAGGATCGATGGAGTGTCTGTAGAATTTTGTTTAATCTAAACAAAATTAAAAAACAAAAACAGCAAACTTAATAGAATAAGAATATTTAAACCAAGTTAATGAATTTGTTTTTGTTATTTAAAACAATGCAAATGTAACACAGAAAGAATTAAAGTGTCTTATATTACAACTTCTAAATTATACTTAATTAATAAGTATGTTAATTTTTAATAATTCTAGATAATCAGATTTAACAAAATTCACTATTGATATCCATTCTGAATATGAATATTTTACAATAAATAAATTTAGACTCATAGATATTTGTTAAATATCTAATGTAATTATAGATTTGTTATGATGTATGGTATTAATTTTTTCTAATTTTAAGAAATTTATATTTGGAATATTTTTACTAACCATGAAGTAATTTGCTGTACAGATAATTATCAAACATAAAATATTCTCTGCAAAAGATTTTTATTTCCTATTAATCAATAGAAAATTTGAACAACAACCCTGTATTCAGTGACAATGAGGTGAGGATATTGTTGTTTAATTCTATGGTGTATATGTTGTCTGTATGCTGTCATGTTTGTTTTGAGTCTTGTGATGATGTAGTAAGTATGAATGATAAACTCATTCATTTCTGATGTCCATTTTTTATTCATTGGTATGGTTTTCCAGCCTTTGTGGTCTGTGAATGCATTGCCACAGAAACACCAAAGCTAGGTTAGTACCTCACATCTGTTGAGGGCATTGCAATAGCCATGCTTGGCCCGGCACTGCTTTCACCACTGGTAGCCAAGGGAAACTGTAGCCTATTTTTTGAACATGAACCTCTGCCTAACCCACAAATGCAAACCTTGTTAACCCAGGCAACATCCAAGCTGGTATCACATTTAGATCTGGTTACTACCATAATAAATATCTCCACAGAATGTGGGTGTGGTCACTATTAGCTTCATTTCTCCCCATAGACCTTATTAGTGGCATGGGTGTCCCTACCAGGAGCTTATACTCCAGCCTGCATTGCCCTATGGATCAGTAAAATTACTGCTCTCTCCCACCACAACCAGGTGGTGACCATGGGAGAATTGTTGTTATTATTGTTATTATTATTATTATTGAATAAACCAGCAAGAATTATCAAAATTAGTACTTAGATTTGTTAATTAAGTTAGTAATATTTATGAACAGTATAACAAAGTACATTCTGCTAATTACTGTAAAATGCTCTCAAAAACATTTAGTGGAATAAATTGATTTATTTCTTAAGCTACAATCATATGCATTTTTTTATAGGATTGTACAGAAACATTGTCACTTTTTCACACCAGTTTTTTTGAGAGCCCATGATATGCATATTAAATGGATAGAATGTAGCATGAGGATATCATGGAAGCACAGTTAAATAAGTCAATATGGTGGAAAATGCCTGTGGATGTAGAAAAACTATTAGGTGAAGAAAATCAATGCACTTCACGAGACTGCAGGTTAAAGCAGACCACTTAAATTTTTTGTAATTTTATTAAAAAACAATGTTAAACATTTTATTAATAATAATTAGCAATAGGAATAAAAGATATAATAATTCAAAAATATCATATTTAATTTTACCTGATTGCTAGAAATATTTGTGGAAGAAGCAGTGAAAGGTATACATTTTCCAGAATTTTCATTACGAATGTAACCGTCATCACAATAACATAAACCTTGGCGAGCTCTGTGATTTTTTGGCTTGCAATGTTCGTGAGTGGGACAATCAATTCCTATACCATATATACAAGTTTTTATTTTTTTTGCAGTTGGTTTCAAAGTTTGTGAAGAATCTTCTCTTGAGTTTAAATATTCAGAAGTCTGAGATTTTATATTCCTTGGTGAATTAGTAAACAGAGGTGTTCTGTAATAATAAAAAACAAAATTAATCAACAGTTATCAAAAATACATCAAATTATATATTAATCATTTTATAAGATCAATTAATTGACATTGCTATAGTTTTATGTCAAATTAAAATGTTTCTGACAATGTAAACATAGGAATACAGGAGCTCCCTTACTCCCTTACTTATGAACATTCGACTTACAAACTTTCAGACTTAAAAACAATTGATTGTACATCTAAAATTTAAATTTTGCACAGATTCTGAAGTTCTCTTGCCAGTCAAAGCATGGTGTCAAAGTCAATCTTTAGCCAGTAATAAACAATAAATTTTTAATAAATAATTAATATGGATTTATTTTTATCACGTTTTGTCATTTTTTGTTTTCACACAAATTTTGACATTCCATTGCCATTCATGAGGAGGGATCAACATTGGTAATGTTGAAGTAATGGCATATTTTGCTATTGTTTGCAATTCTTATAAACTTTTATAATCAGTGCTTCAACAATACATACAAATATAATAGTAAATCTAACAGAGGAGATAAATGCAAAAAGTATGTCTATACTACTGTGGAAACTCAACTTGGCATTATAAAACTAAGCACATTAGGTGAAAAAACTGCATTTAAAATAACCACTATTAAGCAGTAGCAAGCTGGTAAATGAGCATAATGTATTCAATTAAGTACATCAAAGAATCAAACACTAACAATATGTGATTTTTCTGTATACAAATGTACTTTCTAGATTACAACAAAAACTTGAAAACCTAATTTATTTGTAAGCAGGGAGCACCTGTAGATCAACTGTCATTAAATAAAATTAATAACTTAAATATCTTATAAATTCCTTTATGTTGGTGATGGATGGCCAAGATGGTTAAGGAAATAGCTTACTGCTTTGTAAATTCAGGACTAAGTCCAAGCAGTATAAAAACTCTAGGAATTTTTCAAAGAGGATCTGACCTTAATATGTCAGACCCCATCTCTCACCACCAGGCAACCCTCTTAGGCCCAGCTGAGTCCATGATGTGCATGAAAAAAAGGCTCTCTCATTGACTATATGAGGGAAAGAGTCTTAAAAATATATTATTTTATGTGAATAATTAATTAATTTAATTAATTACATAAATTATTAATTATTAAAAAAGTATTTAAATTTAAATTAATAGTAAAATATAAAGAAAAACTGATATTCAACATGGAAAAAAGTAACATACTTGATGATCTTACTATAACCATATAAGACTCTGAAAATTTTGTTCCGCTTCTTTTTTGAAAATCCAGCTAAAAGTATATAAAAACCATGTCTAAACCTCAAATCACAACATACATAAACATGAACTTAAACTGTTGTCTTAAAAAATAAAGGCTCTTTCAGATTTGTATATGTCAGAATTATATAATTATTGACAGAATTATATAATTAGTCTGTTATATATTTTATAATGAGAAATTGTCAATTGTGTAATTCAGAAGTATATTTCAGTAATTCGTGTTTTGGTCAAATGTAAAAATATTCACATAAAAATATTTAAAGAAAAAGTATTCATTGGACAGCAGAACTTTGTAAAATTATAATTAGTTGTTAAATACTAAAAATACTAATATTATGTATAACTTTTGGTAAATTACATCAAATATCAAACAATGGCTATTAATTTTTATATTGGTTTACATTTTGTTGTAATTGTAGTTTGACAAACTCTGTCACTCATTTGTAATAGGTTTTCTTTAATACAAGCAAAAGTTTATTGTATTGAACTAATGTTTTTTAATACTCACTTTAGAGATCTAAATGATCTGAAATCATCATCATCCCATCTATAGTCTTCATCTGTACTATGTACAGCTGCAATAAATGTTAATCATTATTAAAAAAGCTAATATTGAATATTTAAGAAATACTCAATTAAACAAAATTAAAATAATATTTTTTTGATAGCATCCCAATGAGATAGAAGCATAAATTATTAATATTGATTAATTTTCAATAAACTAGTAATTGAAATATTAATAGCATTATAATTTGATTGCTGCCTTGTAATAATGTTTTGAATTTTCTGAAAATTTCATAAAATCAAAACAATTTGAGTCTAGTTTACACAATATGATCACTGCCAACATTTTGTCGCATCTAAAAATATATCAACAAGATTTATCGAAAATTCAGATGTTTACACAATACACTGTAAAATGACTAGCAAGTCATTCATAACACATGCAAAAAAACATCTTTGAAAAGCGGCAAGAATGTAATCTAACTCATGATTCCAATCTTGTTAGTGACTGGTTTGACATTGCAACAAAGAACAAAAAATATGAAAGATTTTCTGCAACATAGTCGAGATTTGTTGAGCCAATATCCTTGTCGATAAGTTGTAAATGTGTACAAACAAAATGTGTCCATATGTATTGCGATTTAAGAGAAAATGTTGGCATAGTCGTAACATGTAAATCAGCCTTTAAAATTAATATGTACAAATAAACAAAGCATAATATATGATTTAAACCTATTCTTTAAAGACAATCTTAGCAATAAATGCAAAATTATGTATATTTATAAAGCAATATGGTATTTAAACTACAATAAATCTTATTGTTTTGAAGCATTAAGAAATTTAATGCCACATTTATTCAATAAATATAATTAACCCTTTTACTGACAACTTGTTCTACTGTGCTTATAGCTTGAAAATGCTCAAGGCACTCAAGCTCACTAGACATATATTATTTAAAAATTTGTTAAAAATTCAATTTTTATCATACCGGTTTGAAAAAAATCTTGTACACACATTTGCATAATTTATGATTATTTACTTATTTGTTAATATCAAAAATTAGTTACAAAAAAATTAGTTTATTGCCACCTACTGTTTGTTTGTAATCTTATACTACACTTTGACAATAGATAAAATAATTTATTTTTATTCATTCAACTTTGTTATCGAGCTAGCTTAAAGCAGAAGTTTGTCCTTTACATTTGGTATAAGATTTATACATACAGTAGAGCCTCGATTATCCGACCCCCGATTAACCGACACCTCGGTTAACCGACCGTCCTAGTCGGCAAATTTCAAATGTCCGCTAGAACACAAGTGAAGTTATTTCTG